CCACTGTTGAAGTTGAAGGAAAAATCTGTTGATTTGTGATTTTTGTTTGAATGAAATACTAACGAATTTGCAAAATATTTTGTTTCAAAGTTGTCTCTATGATCTCTAAGATGGACTTGGCATAATAGGTTAAACTAAAAGAGGAAACATCAAAGGACTGCCCAAGCTGGCAGTAAGAAATAAAAGTAGAAAACTCCTGGAAGTGTTCATGAGGTTGCATCTGGAGAAAACATATGGGTTGACATCTTGTAATTTATTCCTCTGAACAGAAGAATATTCCAGATGGTTAACATTGAGAGGTTTTACTTTTGTAAAGCATTTTTAATGATGGTATTGCAAAGCAGGAAGTACAATAGTGGCAAAAGCCAAAACAGGTCTTGGGTGGGTAGGTAGATACAGACAAATTGGCAGAGCAAGCTTCAGTGTCCCAGGGACCTGATAAAAGTGAAATTCAAATTGACACGAAGGATGATGAGCAGCTCACCAGTGCAGCATACTGATGGGGAGTTGCTAACATTAAACACCAAACAACATGTATCACTCCCAATTACATCATTATCACTTTGAAAAGGTAATAGTGGTTTACAGTTTGAAAGTCAATGTTATGATGAGATCATTGCAAAATGCTCAACCAAAGGATGAATGTTATTTCCTAAATTTGATTTGAACTTTAATGGAACATTGTATAAATAAAGGAAGTGAAAGAGAGACGTGAAAATGGGGTTTGAATAAAGAGTCAAGAGCATTGAAATGGCAATGAATTAGGATGTTGGCATCATTGTTACAGACCAAACAAAATTGTTTTGGTACAGTCAGTAGTGACAGTTTAAATCTGTTTTACCTTCTAGATGAGCTGGAGAGGTTTCAGATTTACCAGGATGTTACTAGGAATGGAAGGTTTGAATTATAAAGAGGCTGGATAGGCTGGGACGACTTCTCCTGGAGCTTAGGAGGTTGAGAGGTGAGAGGTTTACAAAATGCTGAGAGTACTGATAAGGTGATTGGCAGATGTCTTTCCCTCAGGTGGGGGTTTTCAAGACTGGGGACATCTTTTTAAGGTAAGAGGAGAGAGATTTTTTTAAAAAGGCAAGGGGCAATTTTTTTCTTTCCTTTTTGTTGTTCAGTTCGTGTGGCGTGAACTTTGAGAGGAAGTAGTGGATGTAGGTACAGTTACAATGTTTAGAAGACATTTTAGATAAGTACATGACTTGGAAATGTTTGGAGGGATATGGGCCAAGCACAGGCAGGTGGGACTAGTTTAGTTTTGGGATAAAAGTTGGCATAGACTGGTTGGTTGTACCAAAGAGCCTGTTTCCACACTCTGATTCTGATTTAATTCCTCTCCCTTTTCCTGCCTCCCGATTTATTTCCCTTGCCCCTTTCCCCAAGGGGCCTTTGTATACTTTTGGCATTTCACTTTTTGGATTTTTAAAATATATACATTTAATGAAGCTCTTATGGTCTGATTTTAAACTGCTTACCTTCAATTTTTTTTGTCTTCTGAAAGTTTTCCAGTCCTTTTTGGTTTACCACTAATCTTTTCTACATTTGTTTGTTTGTTTTTTGTTTTTTTTCTTTCAATCTAGGACTACCCTCACTTCCCCATGGCTAAACATGATCAGTTATCATCAAGTCCATCTCCACATATACTGTTTTCTTTTGTTTCTCAGTCATCTTTTCTACTGATCTCCTTTCCCAGTTCATTCTAGCCGTCTCTACCCTAACCCCTACGTAGTTATCTTATTAAGTACAGCTGTTTGAAATCCCAGTTTCTCATGCACAAATAGAATGCTAAATTCAACAGCATATGGTCACTGTTTTCTAAGGGACCTCTTACTCTAAGGTCATTTAGTAAAACCTGCCACATTTGACCTGATCCAAAAAAGCCTGCTCTGAGGTGAGGTCCACAACACATTTGTTCCAGGAAACTGTCCTGAATACACTTTGATTTCTTCTTCATGGCTGCCTCTCCCAGTTTGATTTTTTTAAAAAATGTTTTACATGAAGATTGAAGTCATCCATAGGGTACTGTCTCTCTTTTTTTTTCACATGCTCTCTGTCTGTCTTCTCTTATTTGCTTTTAGACAAGACAGGTTGACTTTGCTACATTCTTTAATTGGGCAAATAGGAAAAGCAGCTGGTATGACTGCTCCATTTTTCGAATGTGAATTTGATGCGTGGTGGAGCTCATTAAGACAATAAGGAAATTCTTGCATCTCAAATATCCAAAAGTTAGGGGTTTGGGTATTAGTCATCAAGGACTTGTTTCTTGAGGAACCCAACAAAGGATATTTGAGAGAGCTGAGCCGACTGGGCACCCCTTGCAACACTATCTACTTTGAGTGTTAGAACTGAACTCAACTGCCTAAGTTTCTGGGTTTGTATGTTTGTTGTGAGAATCAGTATTTGTTCATTTGCGGCAGGTGTGGCTTGTCATTAGTTGCAGCACAAAGAACCATTGCTTCCTTGCGTGGTACGTTGGCTGTCATTCCAGTGACCATGTGGTCATTTGACATTGTAATTGATATGCAAATCATATGTAGTTTTTTTTTTTTTTGCAAATGTAAGTGAATCCATCTTGTGTGGAAAATTTTGCTCAACTGTAGTAATTTACCCAACCATTTGGCTAGTTTATAAATAACTGGTCACAAGATGAGGTGAAAGTGGCATTAATTGTGCCATGCTGTGGGCAGCCCATACAGACTTACACTTCCACTGACCTTGCCTAGTAAACTGCTTTATTATTACGACTGAACGTTATGGGTGGTCACTTTGCTGGCTTTCTGAAAATCCAGCTGGAATTTTATAGAAGCCCCGTAATGCAGTTTTCTTTTTCTCCCCCAAAATTTTAAATCAAGACAATTATTACTTATCTATGGTATGTGGCACCCTTTACTTTAGGTTGACCTGTTTGAAGGCCTGTGTAAATGACAGTTTCGCTTGGGGAAAATAGTTGAATTCACCCCATTGATGTAACCAAAATTCATTTTGATTTCCTGTTTTTTTTTCTTGTTGTACTGAATGATTTGCTTAATTCACTATATTAATGAGTATGTCTAAAGTTCAGGAAGTTAATCACACTTTTATTTCTCTCTAGATTCTCTTATTTGTATCTCCAGTGTTCTCAACAGGCTCTGCTTGAGCAGCTTTCCATTCTATGCAATATCTGACTTCAATGCTAGGATCACCAATATGAGAAAACATTAAACTCATTGACAGCATTTTGCTGCAGAAAGTTTATCTTTCTCCTCTTTCAGATATATATTGACTGTACGTTTTGTGATGCAAGTAATTGGGCTATTGTTGATTTGCAAAATGCTTAATTACTTTCAAGTACTTATTTCAAAGGTTAACATGTTGAGTTGTTTTAACTGGTTTTAAATGGAGCTTTCAAAATAATGTGTGTGACTGGAACCTTATTTTGCATTCATTAATACTTCCATCTAAATCTTCTTGGGTTGCAAAATGCAGGATGATCTTTGCTTTTTATGCAGTTCTTTCAGTGGCATTTCACTAAATAACTTTTTTGAATCATGATACATCCGGGTGGCATAATCGTGATTCCTCAAGAGTTTGCATTTGGTTGGATTTTCAGATTTTTTTTTTTTTTTTTTTTTTAAACCCTAATAAATTTGGGTATTGGAGTTCTTCAGAAAAATAATTGCAATTGGCTTGTTAATGCATTTTAATAAATAGCATGTATATGAATCTTCCATTTTGAGTTGCACTGCACATTTTAAGGTTTTTAAAAATAATTTCAAGATGAGAATATTCCAAATCACTTAGAATCACTTTCTTCTCCCTTTTTTACTTCTAGCAAAACTCTACTCCCCGCTCTTCCTTGCTGCTTCCCCAACACAACTTTTCAGTCAAGTACAGCTCAAATTTGAGACTGAATTTGAAGCCAATTCAACCTTTTTGCAATATGGCTTTTAAAAAAAAAAGTTTCCTCAGAATGAAACACCATAACATGCATCCCAGAAATGTTAAGTTTTGAGTTGTCTTGCAGCAGAATAAGGTAAAAATTCTGTAAGCTTTGGTATTTAGAGTTTGGTAATTTGATATACGACTTGATAAACATATATCTTGTGTTGCTTTATGCATTCACGTGCTGCACTTGTGAAGGTGCCTATCCCAAACTGGTATGACTAAATTGCACTTTGTGTTGCTCAGTTGCAAATGAATCATGAAATGTAGGTTAGTTTATAAAAGAAATTTCTGCAGGATTATATTAGGTAAGAATCCTTTTTGTTAAATAGCAGTATTATGTAACACTTCTTTTTTTACATTGAAAGTAAATGTCATTGATCATAGTCCCCTTTTTTTGACAGGATTGTCATTGTCCAGAAGTAATGGAAGATTTGGAATTTTTTTGTTTTGAAAATTTTAAATGGTGAAAATGTGCCTTTTTCTCAATCCTGCCTCCTCAAATGAGATTGCATTGGAGTTCTTAGGTTAGGGGTAAATGTGTAGGGTGGCAGAGCCCTTGATAGTTACAAATAATGGCAGCATATTATATTTTCACTTTGCAGTAACCAGTTTCAAGTGTTTTGTGCCCACCTTTTATTTGTGTTAATCTGAGCACTCACTTCAGATGATCATTTTCACTACTTTCACTTTTTTTTTCCCTACTCCTTTAATGTCTGTCATAGTTTTCACTTGCCTCAATTTATTTTCACCAGGGCTGAGTGCTATGGGTGAAACTAGATATGGGTTGATTAAATTACTGGCTGTCATAAATTTTGATATTCTAGTAACCCAATGAAGAATGTAGAGAAACTTTGAATCCTAGTGTTGTAGTCTACTTTGAACATCTCGATTGAATCAGACATCATCTTAAATGGTGATGTGGGACATTAATGCTACAGTTGGGGGAAGGAAGTATTCACTTCAAGTGCTTAAACACTGATGCTCGTTTTGAAGATTTAATGACTAAAGGGGAGAAAGAACTAATTTCTGCATTGCTCTATTTCACAAATTATCCATCTTTCTTTCTACAGGAGTCGAAAACTTCAAATCAGGAACATACCCCCTCATTTGCAGTGGGAGGCAAGTATTCCCATACTATTTACTTATGCTGTTTACAAAGCAACTTTTCAGTTTCCTTGTTATGCCTGCCTTTTAGTGAGAAAGTTCAATACAATAAAAAGGATACTTACGGATTTAAAGGAAGGTCATGTTGCACCAACTGGAATTTCTCAGAAGGAAATCGGGGATGAACTGTAAGTTTTTGGAGTGAATACAGTCATTCCTCCATATCCGTGAGGGTCGATTCCTGAAAAACCCTGTGAACGATAACTTTGAGAGTGCGTGGCTTAATAACTTATGGTAAAAATAAGGTTGGGTTCCCAGACCCCAAGATTATGACATTGCCTATTATTTTTGGGTTAAAAATAATAAACACTAAAACATATGAAATAAATGTTAATAGAATAAAACATTAAAAATAATTGTCATGTATTGTAACTGACCAACTTAAAGGCAGTAGGTTCTGTTTTCCAGGGCTGGCTGGTGTTGGAGGTTATGTTGATTACTGGGTGTGGGAAGGGGAGAACTGCAGATGTGCCTCCATCCCAGCCACTCTTCCTCCAATGGTGTGCCCTCCTCCTTTCCCTCGATCTGGCTGCTTTCCTTGACCTGGTCGTCCTCCCAAGCACCAATGCCCTTGCTTGTGGAGTTTTGAGGGGAAGAGTTAGAGTGAAGTTGCTGTGTAAGTCAAAATGGTCATGGATAGGTGCGTTTTTTGCCCATCGATTTTGAATGGTTACTTTTTTTAGCACAAATTTGTGATTTTGTACATATGGAGGAATGACTTTGTTTGTTTTTATGGCAAACTGCTTGGCCCAAGAAATGTGAATTAAGGAGGATTTCAATTTGGATTATATTAGCATTTTCAGTTATTGACTCTGTCTGAAATTAGTGTGATGTCCCTGCTGCCTGATCGGAGACACAATTACTGTTTGGAGGTGTGGGTAAGAGAGAAGGGTGGTATTGTGGAAAGGAGCAGTTGTGTCACCTGTGGGACCTAGAAGGATGGCTCCTGGGAAGCTAAGCAAGGGATGAGGATGAAACTGGGGGAGACTGTATAGGCATTTTGTGTGCAGCGAGAAGAAGCATTTAAAATGGTCTCTGATCCTCTGGGTGAGGCATCCTTTCCCTTGCCTAATTTCAGGAAATCTGTAATTGGGTCACTCCCAATATGGTTCCTAAACCCTAAGGCCCGTCCTTCCTTTTTATCATGGCTTTTTTGGGCACAGCATTCCCATGAGCTGATGAGTGGGTTTGGAATACTCCTTGGTGAGTAGGGCAGTGTAGTTATTCTATACTTGATTCATCACTTAGGCTTTCAAAAACATTTCATAGTACCTATTTTGTGACTTACTAATTAATAGGAAATGATAAATGGCAGAGGATGGAATTTGAGTTTTAAAAATGAGAAATTGGGTAGTGATCAAACCTAAAAAATTTTGAAAGCTGCCAACCTTCAGGATGGTTTTTGCTTTTTTTTTTGATGACTTTCTCTCTTGAATGAGAATGTAGTGAAAGTTCCTGCCGGACTAATGATGCCAATGGAGGAGATAGTGTAAATAATACTGCCAGATACCAGAGCGTTCTTGAGCCAATTGGAAGAGTGTGTGGTAGCTACCATTCCATAGGAAGCAGATAATTAAGACCATGGATTTAAAGTACTTGATCTTTATATCACTTTATGGAATATCTGTTGGAATATGTTTTGGGCAACTTTTCAGCATTTATTGCCTAACTTAAGTTCTTAGTCACTCACCTAGAAACAAACAACTGACTTGCAAGGGCATCTCAGAAGCTTTCTTAAAAGAAAGCAGGTTCTCTCATCCTGAACTGTGTAGGAATGATACCTGCCTTTTAAGTAAAGGGTATTAGTGAAATAATTGAGTTTCTAAGGCAATATGACTTCGTTTTCATTGTTAATTGCAACACATTTGTTTGAAAAATATTTGGAATTAATATGCAAATTTTCCAACTCTTGTTGGAGTTTTAAACTCTTGTGAAGCCTCGTATGTGGCTATGTCCAAGATGTTTGTTATTTATAGCAAACAATTCACTATCTGCCCACTGATTTGAGGAAGGAATGTTTGTGGTTATTGTAGGTAGATTTGTGTAACTTCCAAATTGATAAATCCAGTTTAAAAGCTGCGGCTAGGGGAAAAGAAAGGACATGGCTGCCATATAGAGGTTCATCAAACTTCCTCTGAGTAGAGGGTGCTGTAATGGTGAACTAATTAAACGAATGTAGCATTGTTCATGAGTAATGATAGGATTTCAGGTAGAAAATCGGAGTAATGAGAAATGTACATGATGTACAATTGGTGGGGGTGGAAAAGCTATCCAGAGTTTTTTTTTTGACTTGATTAAATTTTTCAATAAGTTCAAATACCAAGGGCATAGATAAGAAATTGAAATTATCAGACAAACAATAGAAGTTTTTCAAGCAAAAGAAATATTAAGAATTGAGTTCAGGAGTCTGTGTTTATTGAAGTACATTAAGTAGAATTATTGTTTTAACGAAGATCTGTAGATAGGGTTGTGGTTAGAGTTGCTGGTTGGTTCGCCAAGCTGACTGGTTTTCATGCAAATGTTTCATCTCCCTTCTAGGTGACATCTTCTTCAGTGCTGTCCAGCCTCTGTTGAAGCGCTGTTGTTCTGTCCCGCTATGAATTTATATGGTCTGGTCTGTCATGGTGGGCAGTCGTCTTGTTTCTGTTTTTTTTACTGTGATGGTATGTGAATGGCGTCTATTTCAACATGGTTTGTTTATGGCATCGATGGTTAAAAAACCAGGCCTCCAGGAATTCTCGTGCTTGTCTTTGTGTCTGGAGGCCTGGCTTTCAACCACCGATGCCATAAACAAACGTTTGAAATAGATGCCATCTACTGCCCACCAAGACAGACTGGACTATATAAAGTCAGAGCGGGACAGAACAACAGCACTTCAGCTGAGGCTACACAGCGCTGAAGATGAAGCGTTTGCACGAAAACCAGTCAGCTTGGCAAACCAACCAACAACTAACTAGAATTATCTTTAGGAAAGGAATTGGTCTGTTCAATATTATCACCATCTTTTAATCATTTGGATAGAGAAATTTGAATGCTACAGTGGAACCGTGAAGTTAAGACCAGGTGATTTGTAAACTGATTGATTGTACGAAAAGTTAATTTTGATATTCAAATTGAATTCATTAAATGATGATCTTGTAGCCCAATCTGAGGAAGCTTAATGGGTATGTTGGACTTTGAAGACAAAATTTCAACCTTGTGAAATGGGAAAAAAATCCTTGTTTTTAAAAAAGGTGTGTAATGTATACAATTGAAAGCTGAGTTCTTTCACACTTCAAATATAACTTGAATTGGGCTGTGTACGGGTAAAGTATCTGCATTGTTTGAAAATTAGAATAAAGAAATTCAAAGTGTACATTAAGGCCGTTTACAGGTATCTCTGACATTGTTTAGCATAAAATGCTCTTAAACCCCCACAATATTGAGATCTAGAAGTGCATTAGCTGAGTTTCTTGAACATGTGACCCAGAAATTCAGCACCATGTTGTTATGGTTTGCAAACCAATTGTTTGCATTTTATGAAACTGGACAGGAACTGAATTCTGAACAGGGATATTTCCACTTTTTTTTAATATATTATCTATTAATAAATTTTTCTGTAGGACTTTGCCTGTAAACAGCAATGACATTTTATGTATAACTAATTTAACTTTCTGCAGTATTTGAGAATGCCCTGATGCACACAAGGGAGATTGTCATAAATTTATTTTTCCTTTTTGGTGCAATTGAGTGGAACTGTATTTATTTTTGAATGGCCTATCCCGCATCAAGCACCAGTTACTTGTGTCACTTCTTTTTTATTTTTAAAGAAATAAATACCACCTTTTTAAGTTGGATTGCTCTGATAGATAACGTCTGGTGGTATGGGAACAAGATCACAGCTTACCATTAGAAACTACGCTGAGCCTTAAAACGAAAATATCTGTGTATCCTTTTTTTTACTTAGTGCATATTTGTCTGGGTACGTGCATATCAATCATTTGCATGTGTCTGCTTCTCCACTTTTAAGCTCAAGCTCCCCTTTTTGTATTTGTGGATCGAACTCTGAAGTGCACTTGGGCATGTCTTCCATTACGTGAAAGTTTTTTTTTTACTTTTTGCTCAACCCACCCTCGTCTGAGAGCATCCTAATTCATGGTCCTAAAACTTACTGTATTGAGATGAGATTTTCCCAAGATTATTCTATCTAGATCTAAAGAATTATTCCCTTTGTTCTCAGCATGTTGACACGGTCACATTTTAGGGGCCACCTTTAATTGTCCGGTGACGGTAGTGATGGCCAATCTCTTTTAATTACCTTGGTTTCTGATATTGGTTCTTAGATGGTAATGTTTGCCAATGTAATCCTGGACAGTATGTCCCAAAAGGACATGCTGTCTGAATTGGAAATGATAGCATTCTATTGATGACATTGTTGTCTTTTTATTTGATGTCATTGGCAGCTTGGTGAATTGCTGTACTGCACTATATATATCCTATGTTACCTAATGTGGCTTCAGTGTGTGCCAGCAGTGAAGGGAGGCCGAGCGCACTGTTAAATTTTGATTCGCTAGATCACTCTCTCTCCTGGATAGTGTCAAGATTCCAAATGCTGTTGTGACTACACTGAATCACACAAGTGGTGAGTGTTCATTTACACAGCTGATGAACTATGATCCCTATATATGATTGGCTCAAACTGTTTGAAACATGCTTCAGTTTCATATTAAGTAGTACTACAAAATACTGCATTATTTTGGATTTCCTGCCTTTAAGAGGATATGACTAGGTGAGCCAGTCATTGCAATGTACTTGGTCATCATGGGCACAGAGGTTGAGATCATGTGGATGTTTCACTTCAAAATGCCCATTCACAATCATGGTTCTTTCTCAAAAGACTTGCATTGGCCAAATGATTGGACTATGATTTTAATTACAGGTTCGTATCTTTGATGTAAATGTAACTGACCGCCTAG